ATATATCCGCAAGAAGCAGTTCAAGCCATATGGCTGAGCAACTCATCTACATCGAGTCGAATAGTTGAAATGGCTCAGAAAAAAAGTAACAGTTACTTTACTACAGTCCAGAAAAATTTTCGTTACAATCAGATGGATCTACCCTACTTGTCAACAAAGCTCTTAACGCGGCATATGTCCGACTCTTCAATGGCAACGAATTAGTGCAGGAGATACTGTTTGTCAGGAGAATTAAATCTCATCTGAAAGGCCAGGGTTTATTAGGCAGTCAATAGTTATCTGACTGCGGGCTCTATTCCAAAGCAGAACTAATTGCATGTGCAACAGATGGCGCTACTGTAACGGTTGGAAGATATAAAGTACGTATTGCCAATACAAAAAAGTTTTCCGTTCTGTTCATACAATTCACTGTGTGATTAATCGAGAGCATCTAGTGGCTAAGAAGTTGGGTGGGTCCCTAAACGATTCACAGTCAACTGTTGTAATAGTAGACGACAATACCAAAGCGAACCCTCTTCGACATCGTCTTTTCCAGCAGTTGTGTGAGGAGAACAATGAAGCATTCTATGCCCTACCGTTGCATACAGAAGTTAGATGGCTCTCCAAGGGGAAGTGCCTTCGCCGTTATGTTGCACTCTGGGATCACCAACATCACATTCCTTTCCGTAAATTCTGAAAAAGAACTGTTAATATCTAGGCCAGACATATTGTATCTGGCTGATGTATGTGACAACCTCAACTTATTAAAACAAACTCTTCAAAGCAAAATCGATAATCTCATCTCGAGCAATGAGGCCATTATCGTCCAAGACGTCCGGAATATTCACAGTTACGAATTCTGGCTGCAGCCATGAAGGAGTTGAAGGAGAAGGATTTGCTTGCTCGTGCCAATCATTTACAACATCTCCGAAATGAAATGGACGTCAGGTTTCATGACCCGATCGACATGGAAATCCTGATTTGGATTTAAGATCCAGTTGATGTACAACCCTGCAATATTGGAGTTAAACTCCAGGTATGTCTAGTAGAGCTTCAAACTGACATACTAGCAGGATCCAAACTCGCGCACTATAAAAAGGATTTTGTATAAAGTCTGAGGCCCCTAACAACTATCTCAGACTATGAGAAATCATCATCATCATACACGTTAGCTAGAAGTGGGGAACACCTCAGCTACTGTGCCGCAATACATAGAAAAAAGAGAAAAATGCAACTGGTGCAAGCTGGCTGAGCTACCAGTAACGGATGGGCATCGTTCTGGTAAGCTACCAGCCGGCTACTGTGCATCAAAAAAATTACCATGGAAAATTATATAAAATTAAATAATGAGATCGTGATTGGAGGGGGAGGCTAAGAGGGATGGGGTGGGACAAAGAAACTCACAGCACGAACGCCACTGAGGTCGGCTCCTTGCCATATCAGCAAGTGTGTCCAACCAAACGTGTTCATCGTGTTTCGGACCCCAACCAGGGAGCCGAGACGCTCCAACCGAGGCCAGTTCTGATGTGAGGGCCTTCATTCCTCTGGACCAGGTCATTGCTTGGCCATCGCTCCACTTCTTCCATCCATCGACCAAAAGTCGGAAGCAATTCGATGGAGCTTGCAAACGCTACAAAATCTTTATTTGCACAGTCTTGCGGAGATACCTACACAACAGCGCCCACGGCACAAAATAGGACAGAGCACAGCACGAGTGAAACGTCTGTTCAGGAACGCTCAATAATGCCATGCAGCTTGACTGAAATACATAAACCAAAAAACGATTAATGGCCGGCCACCTAACGACCGGCTTAGAAACTAACACAAACTTGACATCTGTCAACGCACTCTTAACAACAAAAGCCCTATCTTGCATGTACACAAACGCTCAGGGCCTTCTAAGCAAGTTGGCCGAACTTAGAGAACTCCATGCCTCACAACCGCGGGACCTCGTCATGATTACAGAGACATGGTTAAGCCCTGAGATAACTGATCCTGAGATCAAGTTGCCCGGTATGTCGCTGCTTCGGACCGATAGAGCTGCAAGGGTTGGCGTTGTGATTCATTACTATAATACAAACCTCCGATGTGAAGTTCTCGACCACCCGGAAATCCGAGCTCCTGATTCGCTTTGGTGCCGCCTATGGTTGCGAAACAAGGACACATGCCTACTAGCCGTGATTTATCGCCCACCAAACTCAACTTCGGAAATGGACTCCAAACTAAACCACGTTTATCAGTTTACTTTGAACAAGTCCTACACCCACATTCTTATCGCCGGAGACTTTAACCTGCACCACATAAAAACGCCGGCAACCGACGGTAGGCAGATTAAAGCCTGCTTGTAATAGCTAATAGCCAGCCACCCTCTGTACAACCACGTAACCTCTCTCTAGAGATTTCGAGCTGCTCACAAACCGTCGATACTGGATCTTGTGCTAACTAACGAAGAACTCATGGTTGACGGGATAGTTACAAGCACACCGCTGGGTCGTAGTGATCATGTCACTCTACTCTTTGACTATATATGCTATGCGGTGTACCCTGAAAAGGAGGATGATAAAGTGCATACTGTCAAGCACTACATTGTGTCGGCTAAGCTTGTTAAGGACATATCTTGGACTTTCTTAACCGTATGGTTCCCGGATGTCACCTGGGAAACCCTTACAAGGACGTTGGCACTGGTTGCGCAAGCATCGGAACAGCAGTCCTTCCAACCCTAAAAAAGCATAAGTCATTTCTGAGGAACAGCACACGTAAATGTATGTCCCGGAGGGATTCGGCATGGCGAGGTCACCAGGACTGCTTGAATGCCGAAACCTGGACTGCATACGTGACACATCGTAAATGCTGTGTGGGACTGATCCGCGAAGACAACGTCACTCATCAGCAGGAGTTAATGAAGCGATTCCGCATGAACCGCACGTTAACGGCCTTCGAAAGGAGAAGCGGGGGATCCCAGCACTAGTCACGGCTGATGGGTGCACACGATCAGCAATGGAAGCAGCTGATCTCCTACGGCTTCATTACTCCCAATCGTTCCAGCAGGTAACGAGCCCAAACATTCGCCTCATTTCTAATAATCCACCAGCGGGTATAGACAACATCACCTTCACTGCGGTAGCTGTGTTGATGAATTTGTTATCCTTGCGTATCTACAGTTCTCCCAGAGCCGACAACATCCGACCAAAAGCTCTACAGGCTGTAGCTAGTGATCGAGCAGAACCACTGGTTGTTTTCTACCAGCAATGTCTAGAAGGGAACCGTATTCCACCAGTATGGAAGCGAGGGGTCATCACTCCTATCCATAATGGTAGCCGCACTGATCCTGCAAATACCGTCCAATAACACAACTTCCCGTACTATCCAAAGTGATGGAATCAATCATTGCAGATGTGCTGTTGCAGTATCTGGAAAGAACAACGTAATAGCTTCAGAGCAACATGCCTTTCGTCAAAAGCATTCGTGTAATACTAACCTATTAATTGTACGTAATAGTTGGACTGAAGCTGTTGATAATGGAGTAGAAGTCTATGTTATTTACCTGGACTTTGCAAAAGCGTTTAATCGCTGAGACCATCGAATTATCCTTCAGAAGCTTTGGAATTACGGCATTGGCGACCCAATCCTGAGTTGGATTGACAATTTTCTACAAGAACGATGGCTAGTCGTGAGAGTCCGAGAATCATTTTCTCATGCAATCGACGTGGTGTTTGGAGTACCACAAGGCTCGGTTCTTGGACCTCGTCTATTCTTGATGTTCATTAACGATTTGGCGAGATCAATTACTTCCAATTTCCTATTTTTCGCTGATGATATCAAGAAATGGCAAAGGATCAGAAGACTGGACGACCACGAACGGCTCCAGTGCGATCTTACCACGGTGTCCAACTGGTCAGTTCAAAAAGTCTTACCGTTCAACGTAGACAAATGTCGCGTTGTACAACTACGTCATAGACATATCTACACCTATTTACTTGGGACAAACGAATTGCAGAATAGCTCCCAGGAACGTGACCTTGATGTGATCGTACAGAGTGACTCTAACTGTTCAAAACAGGCTGAAGTAGCTGCGAAAAGAGCCAACTAGCACGTCGGTATGCTGCGAAGGGCATTCAAGAGATTTGACCCATTAATCTTCCCAATGATACACAATTCCTACGTGCGTCCGCATGTTGAATACGCTAGAAGCGATAGAGGCATCACAACGAAGAGTAACAAAGAATGTATAGGGCCTGCGCCATCACTCTTGCCACCGAAGGCTGCAGTTGCTGGAATATTCAGCGAGCGCTATCGAAGACTGCGCGGCGATCTCATATTAGCGTATCAGATACTGAGTGACCCCAACCACGTATGCCACCATTCGCTGAAACTTAGCCACAACACGCAGCTCATGGGTAACTGCTTAAAAGGCAAGTAACAATGTAGCCGTCTAGAGTGTCAACGGAATTACTTTTCCCTTCGGGTTTGCCAACACTGGAACGCACTCCCAGACTCAGTTGAATCCTCTCCCATCTTGGACGTTTTCAATAAACCATTAGATGCTGCTCTTGGCTCCCAACATTTTGTTACCTAAACTCCTCTATTGTGGATTACGCCAAACATGCTTTTTAACAGAATTTATGTATCAAATGGACCTAAGTAAGCAACCATATTTTACTTTTCTCACGCTTCACATCAACGATCACTGCACCTCAGTGTCTTTCTGAACGTTTACGCTCGATAATTTATTTTAATTTCACACTGATGTTAATTATCAAACTACTCATCTCGGCAGACGTTCGATAGATGACCCAGACATATTTTGATTTCACCATATTCACCGCAACCATCCTACGGGACGTGTCAAGCACTTGCTTTTATCCCGTGATAAATCATTGTTCATTGTTCATCATTGTTTATTGTTCCTTGTGAACGGAGGCATGCAAGGCAGTCACGCCGAATTGAGAGTTACATATATCACTGTTATCTGTTATCGTCTCGTTGGCAAAGTGGACAAAGTGCACGTACCCCCGGCTTACCTGTCGCGTAACTGCCATCATGGGTTTCACTAGCCTCTAGTTCATCTGTGCGCGACGACTAACGATGTGCCTCAGTCATTTGTCGCCTTCTGGTAAAATGTTAAGCCGTTGGGTACCACAACCGGTGCGCAATCTCAATCCGCTGGTGGAGCTTCACAATACATGTCAGTTCCGCATTTCTCCGGTAACATAAACAACAGAATGATGCAGGTAAAGTTGCTGGGGCTTGAGAAGTCCCTCAACAAGTTTTGCGGGAAATACATATCAAAACAAAATATTTGTCGACACGGCACATTTGAGGACGCACCAAAGTATTCACATTAGCACACACGCGGACCGTCTACCCTGATTTCTTGAGAGGCTGGCGAGCACAGTGCTGGCGTTTCGTCGTCGACCGATGTTGGTTAATCATGTCATCTAATGCGAATGATTTATTGCATTTAGTCGTTTTTTCCAAAATGTTAGTGATAGCATGCGTGGTTGGGAGCCCTGAAGATCTGATACACCAATATAAGATTACCTCACAGACGACCGTATTGCGCACCGAGAATTCCTACAGCCTTCAGTCCAATGCGGTCAAGTAAAACCTTAGCCTTTTTACTCGCTCTCCTTTGTAGAGTCTCAGGAGCAGTGTCGTCATTGGTTTATCAAAGATGTCAAAACTGGATGGTGTACCCCATATAGATTCTCAAGTATGTGTTGAGCATTGTTTAAGAATGGTGTGATCAAACCAGCCAAGCTCTCCTTGCAAGTGGCCAGGGTGTTTACTAACTATTCCGTCCCTTTTTCGGTCGGTCTTGAGTAATCGAAATAGTCTTATACGTGTACCCGTGATAAATTTTATGCGGCGCGCTGCAAAATATGCCTCACAAGCGGAGATCTGTAGGTACTCTGGTCTGCATGCTCAATTTTTGGTTTGGCAATGATAAACTGGAACATATTTGAGCTGACCACAATTCGGCTCTGTCAAGGTCGGTCTGTAATGCTATGTGGTCGTATGGTTGGAGGCATCCGGTTCCGGATTCGCCTGTCACTGCGAACTGAGCAAATGAGGAACTAATCAAATGCACGCAAAGGACGTGAAGTGAGAGTGATAGCGTCGGAGTATGGCTGCGATCTGAAGGCAAAAACGACGACTTTAAATAGCCAATAGGGATGGCAAAATGATGCGTTAAAACAAACGTCGGAGAACCACAATAGCAGAAGGAAACTCTGCAATCACGAGCGGCTACAAAAGCGTACCTGTATTTCTCTTACACCCCCAACAATCAACCACACGCTTCAGCTGATGTGCCGCAAGAAAAACTAAACCATTTTTTGTTGTCCTGCACACACAGTTTTGCTCCTTTTAGTGGTTGTGCATCACGCATTAAACATGCACGTAAAAAAATTTCCACTTATTTCGATCGCGCCATATCCTAGATTATCCAGCTGTCTTCACCCTTCGACTTTTGCTCCCCAACTAGGCTGGTGTGTGGATCCAACAGCAGCAAGACTTGAAGTGAACGATTTCATATGCTGTCACCAGGTAAACAGCCAACGACCACGTGACCTATTCCAGCCGAGTCTTGCACCAGTGAATAAGACGCAGGACGTGACCGAACCGTCTTAACTGGCGCAGCGAAACCAGCTTGTTGAAGGGAATACGCATTCACTTCACCGTTGCTGATATCTTGTTGCCACTACACATCAGCAATCCTCCTCAAGCACCCATCGTCGATGGCCGAGAGCCGTCGGATCTAATCTGCATGAACTGTCCGTAACTCGCTTCCATATAACTACATAACCCGAACAGTGACATTGTAAACAGGACCCTATACCAAGAGGGAGACATCATGACAAAGTCACCAGTTTCAAGTTGACAAGTGCCGACAGAGCTTTGGCCACGCAGAGGGAAACTTCCTTCGCAACAGTGACACCAACAGACGCAAGTGTCCAGGTGGATAAAGCTATTCATTTTTTCAAGCTGTACACTTTCGAGTGAGCAGGCGAACAAGCCAGTGCCAATCCTGGAGCAGGACTTTAAACTTCGACGGGGCAAAGTACATTCCGTACCTAGATCCCCAATCGCCAAACGGTTCAGAATGGTTTGCATACTTTGCGAGTAGTTACTTAGGTGGTGATATCGGTATAATCGAGGTCGCTCGCTTGACCACTGGTAGCTACAACTAAACTTTTGTGGAACTTCCGTAGCTCTTGACAGGAAGCCTTCAATGACAAAATTAAAAAGAAAAGGGACATAGGGCAGCCCTTTCGTACACCGCTATTGAGGGTGAATGACAAAGAAAGCTTACCATAGGTCGTTACTCTGCCAGAGATGTGGATGTAGAATACATGCAAAATGGCAGTGTACTTTTCATCTACCCCGTTCTTTAACTGGCAACGCCATAGCGCAGGTCGGTCAACCGTGTCGAATGCAGCACGGATGTATACGAACGCAATGATGGTAGGCCGCTGGTAAAGGTGACCGTGTTCGAGGATTTGGCAGAACGTGAATATTTAATCCACGGCCAGGACGGAAGCCAGCTTATTCTTCCCGGTACTGCAATTCACGAACAGGGTATAGTCTACGAAGTAGCATGGACGCCAATTGCTTGGAGACCATTGAAATGAGACTATTGGCGCATGAAGTATGGACACGCTTATTAAAAATCGCGACAATAACTGATTCAGCTCAGGAAACTGCAACTTTTCTTCATCCCATATTCCGGAGAACAATGAAGTTAGCGGGTTGATGATAACTGCGCTTCCATACTTGAACATCTCCAGAGGAAGTCCGTCTCAGCCGGTAGCCTTGAATCGTTTCAAGTCTAGAATCGAAAGACAAATTTCCGCCCCACGGAGTGACTCAAGTGCGAAGACCGGTAGCGAAAGGCTGGGTTCGTAGGGCATGCAAGGGGACGGTGACGACCAATTGAAATGGAAATGGAAATGTTCAGGTTATCAATCCAAGTGTCTCAGTAAGTTAGCAATCGGCGAACCATTTGCTTTGCAGATAGTTTCACTGACAACAAGTTTTCTGTGCCCCATGGCTCGAATGAGCTGGAAGAGTGCCAGTATTGCCAAAGAGGAAGGCGACCTCCAATTTCGAAGCATGTTGAGATCAAGAAGCTTACTAATCACTGCGTAGGCTTTGTTGCAGCTGCCAGCTGACGGCGCACTTCATTCTGGTTAGACTCGGGTTAGACTCGGCAATCAAATACAGTCGAACCCGTTTTATTGCCCACCGTCGGGATAGCTCATAAGTGGGCAATAAAGTAGGATGGACCATTAAATGAAATTGCCCTTTTTTAAAAGGGAAACAACCATTGAATTACTGTGCAGTGTATCACTTGATTTGTCACATGCTAAGTGTTACGTGTTCAACCAATGATCGCTCACTATGACCGTGGACCTGATTGACCCTACACACACGTAGATAAGCACGCACACACGCACTCAAGGACACACCCTAACTTTCCGTGTTCACATGTAAACCGTTAAGTGTTCAGTACACTGTGCGCCAGACTGACGCGTCTTCTTGCTTATTCGCTACTAGTTGAAATACGTACTTGCGGTTAGAGTCCAGCTGTGATACTAAGAAGGATAAAACACGTATTTTAATTGAAGCCTACAAAAGACGTTTATTCAGAAGAGCACGACTTAGAATTTAATGGTTATAACATAAAGCATCTTACCTGGATAACTTTAGCAGATGGCGCTACTGCTTATTCTTGCTGAGAGAACAATCCAACGTCAGTTGCACATAATTTCGTGCAGACACCCCAGTCGCTTTTGATCTGATGAAGTCCAATTGGGATAAGAAATGGTTGCCTCGCCCATGTAAAGTCCGTAACTAGACAGATCATCCAAACAGTTATTTGCTCTTGAGTGCGACACGCACTGATTGCTGTTACTCACGGAGGCATCCGGCACGTCATCCTCTGAGTCGCTGCGTTCTTTCTGTTCTACTCAGTTCCTTAAAATTTTACTGACGATTTCATCGTCAACAGTTGTCAGATCGGAGGTACATTCCACATCGAACTCTTCTGCATTGATGACTGGAATTGTGCAAGCGCTGATCTCGTCTTCAGCGATGACGGCGTCATCAGAAACTGCATGTCGAAAGCACGCTTTTATGGTTGCACCGGTAACCTCTCTCTAACTTTATGAAAGGAACTTAATTGCACTGCGCACAGAAATCTTGGCGTTGACATCCACTGCCGATGATGCGCCAGATAACATGTTGTTTTCGATGTGATAAGGAATTCGGTCCACAATTTCATTCAGTAACGGGTTCGCAGATTCATAATTACACCTTGGTCTATATGTTGAAGAATGCTGGTCGTGTTTGCCTTCAAAAATTCCAATTGGATGTCTTTCAGTCTTTATACCTGTGGATGCGCTATGCAATTATCCAAGAGCAATATAACTTTTCGGCCACATTGACCTAGCTCGTCCCATTCGAGGACTCATTTGGTGAAAGTTTCTTTCGACATCCAAGCCTTTTTGTTAGCACTATAAGTTACGGGAAGTGTAAGTACGTGCATAACATTAAAACATCGTGGTTGCTTACTCTTCAAATTAATACCATATTTATTTTATCGTGACCGACATATTCGCGCAGCACAGGAATGATCCTACCCATGGCTATTTTCCATGCGTTGAGTTTGTCGGTAGAAAACACAAAGAGCATGCTGGAGCTGCACAGTAAAAGAGACCTGTTTCGTCTGCATTGTACGTCTTGTCATCATTAAAAGCATTTAAAAGTTCAGGTAATCGATCTTTCAGCCGCTTTCCATAGACTGCTCTGTCCGCGGAACTTCTTTCGCCATGCACACGTTTATGCACAATTCGCTTTCTATTCTTCCCTCTTTGCAATTATCCTTCTGTGGTATCAAAGCTTTTTCTAAGTCTTTCCCTGAATTCTTTTGCCTTTTACCTCAGAAGCAGGCCTGTAACTGTTTGGTTATGCTCACGAACCGAGTTCATGCAGTCTTCCAATGCAGTTCCAAATTCTTCATTCTTTACACACCGCTTCC